TAGATTTTAACTTACCAAAACAAAGTCCTAGTTTGTGACTTCCTATTACCTACGTACAATGGCAATAACAATAATTTCTGTTCATTGCACTATTTGTTTTCCCATCCTTTCGACAGCAAAGCCAATAACTGCATCCGCATCACCTTGTACTACTCACATGTTGAATATTTATGTACTTATTCATCACCACAGTCTACCACCAATCAAAACCTACCCATCATTAACCCGCTTTGGCACCTGTCCTGTTGCTTTGAAAACAATTTGCGATCCTTCATTTGTCTATAATCAATAACACTATTCCCAGGAGACCCTAGAGTTTCTGCTGCGTCTTGCCTCTCCCCCTACACCAGTCCACAAAGCCTCCCCAAAAACCCCTCTTATATTATGCACATAGCATTAAAGCGGCATTCCCCTCCCACGCCATTTCACCACATCACCTTTAAACGCAGTCAGCCGGCCTTTTGGACTGGCTGACACGCCGAGAAAAAAAGTGCCCAGAATGCCTTCGCCAACCATAGAAACAACGTAGCAGTTTGGAATGATAGCGGACGCAGTGTTTTATACTGGGAGAAGGGAGGAAAGGGTGTGAAGAGGAGGGGGATGGGCCTGTTTGGAATGAAATAGAGCAGCTTTATAATTGTAGGTCAAAAAGGGCCCCAATGATCCTCTTGTGGACGCCATAACACACACGTTATTCTATGGGACAAAAGCGATTCATCATTCCGCCTTCATTCTGCCGACCGGCTCATAGGAATTCACTCTTTGAGAAGTGATTTGGGAAATATCTCGGCCATTACGAGTATTTATAAGCACAGGTATTAGGGCTGGGGAATATGGAGAAAGACCTTGAATTTATAGATAGATAGATAGACAAATAGACAGATAGAGAGATCAGGTGTCTATAGCAGCAGAAACACATCCATCCATCTAAGATCAATACATTCATAGTTCAAAAAGTTAATACCAGTAGCAGTAAAGTAATGTTTAGCTCAGACAGATCTGTTTCGGAGTCATATTGTGGATGGATGTCATTTTACTGCTTATAGACACATCTATCTATCCACTCGGCACTGTGGCTGAGTGGATAGCACCCTCTCTTCTTAGCAACTGGGTCCTGGGTTCGAATCCCAATCGGAACAGAGCATTTAATTCTGAGTGGAGTTTGCATGTTCTCCCTGTGTCTGTGTAGGTTCCCTCCGTGTGCTCCGGTTTCCCCTACCACTAAAAACTTGTACAATAGGTATGAATGTAATGAGTGATTGCATGGATGGATGTTTGGTCAGAATGCACTATATAAATAACCATTACTTACTAATTTATATTGACATTTTTAATCAAAATCACCAAAGTAATTAGGGTTGAGTGATTTTTCTTAAAAAAAAGTATTTCTGTTCAATATTCGAGTTTCAAATACAATATATTTTTGATTTTTGAAAGTATTGTATTGGCATCTCTACAATAATACAAAAACCTGTTGTTTACATGCACGCAGAACGACTTTGCTAAACTAGAATGTGATAAGGAAATCGTAGTTTTCACACCTCTAAAGCTAAGCAGGGAAGGGCCTGGTTAGTACTGTGATGGGAGACCTCTGGGAACACCAGCGGCTATAAAGTGCCAAACTGTCGTGGAGTCCATAAGACGCTTCACCCACATTACCCAGAATGAGTCTGGTGTTGGAGTGAATGGCAGAATGACTACAGTAGTAATTTAAACGCTGTATAAAACCAATGCATTATTATCATAACTTTAATTTTGCCATAAATTAATTAAAACCCTGCTTTATGGAATTGATTAGATTTATTGCTCTGTCCGAACCACCTGTATGTTTAAGTGGACATAAAGTTATTGTCCATGTTACAGTTTCCTTGTGATTGACAGCCCTAGTCTCTTAAATACTCTCACGCCTACAATGCTCAGTGTGTTTCCTCATCTCGACTTGAAGTGAAAAAACTCAGCTGATTGCTAACTTGATCAGTGGTTTGAGCAGAGTAGGGCTTTTTGTGTGACACCAGGAATAACAAGTGTGCTCATTCTTGTAAACAATCTTTTTTAAACCATATTAAGGTTTCAAATGCAGTGTAGGTGATTTCATATTAAGAGTTTGCAGACAGGAGCAGGGTCCAACTCATCTAAACCTGCGTTGTACTGGTCCTCAAACGTTACATTGTGTGAATTTCATATTTTTGCTTATCTACGTTCTTCACATATTCTCCGTAACGAAACCTCCGAAGAACTGGCAGTAGTGAGCCTCCGCAAAAAAAGGGATATAATCTTTATTTAAGACACCCGGGGCAGCTATGGCGACGCAGAGGGAAACCGATTGGAGGTTGAAGAGCGGTGGAGTCTTTCTTTGTGGCCGATCTAATGAGCCATAGTGGTGCCGATGTTTGCACCACACAGAGGAATGTACGCACTGGGGCTATAGGCCGGAATGTGGGACCTCTCGCCTCATCGCTACCTCCCATATGCACACAAAGCCTAATTGAACCTCAAGAGGGCTGTTTGCAGTGTTTGATGAGATATTAAAGGAGACATTACGTCCCGCCCGCTGTATAGTGATAATCTCCACAGCTGCCCTGGGACAGACTGAATGGGCCCCATATACTTTTGTTTAAAAAGTATGGCCCATGTGTCATAGTGGTTAGTCTGATGGTATATGACAGGAGTTTGATGGTCTGTGTACCGACCACCAACCATTCCCACAAACACACACCAGACTCATTTTAGGCAAAGTGTGGGTGAAGTGTCTTGCTTGAAGATACAACAACAGTTTGGCACTTTACAGCAGCCTCCCCACTGTGGCACCTGGTGTTCCCAGAGGTCTCCCATCACAGTACTAACCAGGCCCTGCCCTGCTTTGCCTCTGAGGTCCAGGTTTGGGTATCAATATTGGTGTTAAAACTATTACTCTAATCTTAGAAGCGAGACAACGCAAACCTAGCCTGGCCTTAGCCATCCGTAAACTTCAGTCAATTATCATATCCCTACATCAGGGGTGCTCAATACGTCGATCGCGATCTACCAGTCGATCGCAAAGGTAGTATTGGTAGATCGCATTAAATAAATAAAAAATTACACATTCTAAACGAATATATGCAAAAAACTCCGGGCAAAGTGGAGATTTTTGAAAACTCCGTTAATGCATTTGTGTGTAGACAGAGATAACCGGAGTTTTGCGTTCTCGCACGCCACAGTACCCCCCTAAATTCCTCTGATCACTGAAGCATGGATCATACTACCTTAAAAACTGTTCGCTGTGAGATGCTCGCAGCAGCGAACATCCTCGCTCCACATCAGAGGGCAGCAAAGTGATCGCGGGGACTCACGCTCGAAAACAACCAAACCAGGACTAAACCAGGACTAAACCAGGGCTGAGGACGGGGTCAGTGCTTGTAAACGTACGTCTTTACTCTGAGTGTCTTCTATGACTGTAAAAGTGCCGTTACCGGCGTCTGCATCAGAACTCCGCCCACTTCTGTGTTTTTCCCCAAAGCAGGACAGGACGTAAGAGACGCACATGTTTGGAATGTTACGAATGTGATTGATAACGCCCATGTGTGGATGAAAATTATTTTATAAACGGAGGAGGGGAAATATTTGGATTTAAAAAAAACAGGCATGGCACATGGACATGGCACCACAGTCAAATGACATCTGTGTTTTACTCAGTAATGTTTTACTGACACTTAGGTGACTGCACATGCGCAAACAACCGCGCTCAGTGCAGGAAAGCTAAACCACGACAAACTTGTCAGCGAGTTGCCACCAATTTTCCGGACTATGCCTCCCTGGCCGATTCAATTCAGTGCAAGTCATCAGAGTAAACTCGGGTAATGACAAAAAATGTACATAGGTAATTGTGTTGTGTTGTGCTATATTGGCTCATGCGGTTTTGCATGTACATAAACATACATTGTAGGTATAAAGAATATTTTTTGAAATAAATATATGATTTGCATTTTTGTAGTAGGTAGATCATTTTGACTTGATCCTTTTATAAGTAGCTCGCATGCTGAAAAAGTGTGAGCACCCCTGCCCTACATGCACGTCTGGGTCTGATCCTAGTGGCTGCGGTTACCTCCGACCATTCAGCACGCGGGGGAGGCGGGTAGGTCGGTGTCGGTGATGTAAAGAGTTTGCGCCAAATTTGCTGGTTGTAGTTTGGCGATGGCGGTGAATGCGATAGTGAAGTAATCCGTTCTGGTTTCTCTCCCAAATATCAAGAAATTGAAACCGGAGCGAGTTTCATTCCAGGCAAATATGTTATGGCTCTACTCCCCTCGGGCTTCGTTAGTGGCAAAGGAAATGACTTTTAGCTAGTCTAAATTCTAAAGCTAGTCTAAATGCTATGACTTTTAGCTAGTCTAAATTCTAAAGCTAGTCTAAATGCTAAAGCTAGTCTAAATGCTATAATTGTTAGCTAGTCTAAATTCTAAAGCTAGTCTAAATGCTACGACTTTTAGCTTGTCTAAATGCTAAAGCTAGTCTAAATGCTAAAGCTAGTCTAAATGCTAAAGCTAGTCTAAATGCTAAAGCTAGTCTAACTGCTAAAGCTAGTCTAAATGCTAAAGCTAGTCTAAATGCTAAAACCCTCACTCTCTCGGGCACATTACATACGTCACAGTAAACTCTGATCCAATCATTTCAATCTACAAAAGTAGTTAAACCCTCACACCTGTTAACAAAGCTTAAAGAAGCAAATCCAGACCTTAGTACGAAATGAAAATAGTACGATGGTGTGGTAAGACCAGGCTATCACATGATAGATGTTGTTTTTTTTTTTTTACAGAAACACCTCTTTAAAGGAAACACACATTGTAAATAGTATCTAAATCTATCTGCTTACATGTACTGTGGGATTTTATTGTACAGTGAATATTTATGATTTGAATGGTTTTTGTGATTGTTTCAACTTTTTTCTGTTCAGCACTTTTGAGTTGCCTTGTGCATGAATTGTGCTATACCCATAAACCGCCTCGCCTTACTGTCTGCTGAACATGACAGGTCGCTCCAAAGACCTCCTGACCGATAGACCTCCGGCCCAACTGACCCGGTCACGTATGGTCGGAGTCAACAGCAGCCGAACGCCATATGGTAACATACAAGCGGCCTCTGAGTTATGGTGATGAGACGGAGAAGTGAGCTCAGGCGACGCCCGTGTGTGTACGCTAACATCACCGTGTGTGTTCTCGGCTAATCATTCACACAGCTCTGAACAGCGAATGGAAACAGGTTATTTGAAAAGGAGAATGATGTCACATTTCTAGTGGATCTATTCAAGTGGATAACTGCGTGCCATATTATTAAACTCTCCATAGGCAGATGGTGTTAGATCCAGTTACATGTCAGATCTAAGGAAGGCAATCCTTACACATATTACTGCAAAACAAATTTAAGAATCGAAAAAAGATTATGGAAATATTATGATCATGTAATCCCAATCTGTATCGATAGAAATGTGTTTTTAATCATTAATTATACAGGCATCAGACGTGAGCTCATGGGGAGTTTAAAATAACAACTTTCCTTTTTAATCTTAAGGATTAGATTTAGGGATTAGTCCAAACTACTTAGAATGAGGGCCACTTTAGTTAACCAGACTTTTTGAGGTTGGAGTGTACCCATGCTGATACTGGGGTAAAAGCAAGCCTAATTCCTGCTTTTACCCCTTGTATCGTTTTGTTGATCGGTGCCACAGTGTCAGCTGTTTTTTTTATTCTTTTATATTCAGTGTTTGTGTATTTTATATTACATTGTATCGTGCTTTTTATTCTGTCGGTGCACACAGAGTACCTTTTTTTGCAAATGTATTCCAATGTAGTTTTTATACTGCACATGGCTAATAAATGAATCTGATCTGATCTGATCTACTGATTCCGATGTGATGGAGCTGAAGTTGGATGAATGACAAATGTTTACTTTCTAATAAGTTGCAGTTGTTGAGTATCAAATAGGGTTTGTTCAAATTCAAGAGGTTCCAAGCTTTACAACAAGTTATATGATTGTTGGAGCTGAAGTTGGCTGGATGGTTATTGTACACTTTGGCCAGATACCGTTGCTCTTGGAGAATTTACCTATTGTACATATTTTTTGTGGAGCACCAGGAGGAAACCAGAGCCTTCGGAGAAAACCTACGCATGCAAACTCAACTCAGAAAGACCCTCTGATGAGACTGTGAACTTTTTTAATATTTTATGAACGTTTATAATGTCAATAACTCCCGGGTTAGAGGCAGAAGGCCTTTTGACACGACACCGGACTTTGGACATGCCTGGATTAGACACACCTTACAGTGTATCCCAGGGCAGCTGTGGCTACAATAGTAGTTTATCACCACTGTGTACGGAGTGAATGAATACTGACATGTGAAGCTTCTTTGAGTGTCTAAAAAAGCACTGTATAAAACTGATGCATAAATACAACTGTTTGTCATGGATGGTTTTGGACTTCCTCCAGCCCAGTGCTGTTGGAGTCATGTGACATCAGTGCATTTTGGGTCAAATCTGAGCTATTGTTGTGAACGACTGATATTTCTGTTCCAGTTTGACCTTATTTTAAAGTATTGCTTCAGCCTGGATTCATTTAATGAGCAACAATTATGACCATGAGTCCAATTAAACGCATGTGAACTCTTTGACATATTTACGGCAACAAAAGCCATCTTCTTCCCCGTCAGATTGACAAATATGAATGATGGCCATTGTCCCCAGTGCGGCCGCAGCTCTTTTATGTGTGCTCGCTGTGTGTAAAGAAACAGGTCAAGTGTATGCAACGACAGAGTGGTTCAAAAGTTTGCCAGAAATGTGTCGAGCGGTTTCCTCTGTGGACTCTGTCTGTTTACCAAAAGACCAGCCTCAAAGCAGAACCTTCACATGAATATATAATGACATGTCGAAGCTTCAGTGATGTAGGTTTGGAGACCGCTGCGATGGCACGCTTTGGTTTTGTCTGTGCTGGCCTCAGAAACCCGGAAGAGGTCTGTCGCCATGGAGACTGCTTGCATTACCCTGTTTTGACCCGACTCCAGGATTTTACAAAAAAGATTGGCAGAAAAGAGTAGCGCACGGACTGATGGCATTTGAGAGAACTGAATAAACCAGGAGAATAACAGTTGTAGGGAGCAGAGTGGCAGAGTGGGGAATTTTCCTAGAATAAAAAACTGTAAATCGATCAAACAAGTGATCAATGTAGTTTTTGACTACTACTACTACATATAGTTGGGAGAATGAAGGGGGGTCAATATCACAGACAACAGTTGTAAGCATGTGATTACTGCTAGTACTACTACAACTGCTGCTGCTTCTACAACTCGTGCTGCTGCTGCTACTACTACTACTACTACTACTACTACTACTACTATAGTGCTGCTGCTGCTGCTTCTACAACTTGTGCTGCTGCTACTACTACTACTACTACTATAGTGCTGCTGCTGCTTCTACAACTTGTGCTGCTGCTACTACTACTACTACTACTACTACTACTACTACTACGGCTGCTACTACTACTACTATAGTGCTGCTGTTGCTGCTTCTACAACTTGTGCTACTACTACTACTACTACTACTACTACTACTACTATAGTGCTGCTGCTGCTGCTTCTACAACTTGTGCTGCTGCTACTACTACTACTACTACTACTATAGTGCTGCTGTTGCTGCTTCTACAACTTGTGCTGCTGCTACTACTACTACTACTACTACTACTACTACTGCTACTACTACTACTACTACTACTACTACTACTACTACTACTACTACTACTACTACTACTATAGTGCTTCTGCTGCTACAACTAGTGCTGCTACTACTACTACTTTTTGTTGATGTTACCAGGTGAGAAAATAGCTGTGCCTGATGGTTGACTCTGGCACAATCCCTGTGCAGTCGGGAAGCAAGTGCAAATCCAACCCCACCTCCATGTGGTGCACTGTGGGCATCAGGCCCTACCCCTGGATCACGACCTGATGGCCAACGGGGCTCTGGCTGCAGGAGCCGGAGACTTCTGCAGCAGTACACCAGCCAGACACATGTCTACAGGACCTGCTCTGGGGCTGACAACCCCTGAGAAGGGAACCTTCAAGTTACATTATGGAGAGACAGTGGTATAGGAAGCAGACAACCTGTATAGCACAGTCTAAAACTGCTGCCTCTGCACAACACTTGAAATTCCATCAACATTGTGTTGTATTTTATTTTAAATAGCAAAACGTGACTTTGAGAAGCTATTAATGCCTGTGTACACCAAATTTCTTTACTTTTTCTCTGTTCAATGATGATTCCTCCAGAAAATGCAGAAGTGAGATGGGTCAGTGATCTACAGCCGCCGCAGAGGGCAGTGTGAGAGGTGTAATCTCCCCACGACAAAGAGGAGAACAAGCAGAGGCCATGAATGAATAAATCCTCTCCATCCGCAGACTATGGCCTCCGCACTGACAGCATAATTCCATGGATCATCTTTCTCTGAGGGGAAATGCACTTGCGCTGATTCAATTCGAAAATCAATTATGCCTCAAACAGGAAATCTGTCGAGTGCTGCTGTTATAAATAAAAACAGTTACCTCCAGTGTCACTGAGTTCTTCCAACACGCCCCGGAGGTGAAATAGAGCTGGGTCACTTTCAGAACCTTCAAATTCAATACGATATATTTCTCAACAATACAATTCAATTCAATGTTGTCGCAGAGGACTTTACAAAGTTGTCGATTCCTCAAGGAAGGAGGAGAATCAAACAGTTCGAACACTGGAAATGAGACAAAGCAAACACATAGAAGCTAGAGGTGCAACGGTTCATCACTGATCCGTGATCCGTTCGGTTCAACGTCTTCGGTTCGGTACAGACGTGATCCGCGGTTTGATTTATGAAAAAAAAGTTGTGCGCACGTTGTTCAGTCCACACACAGCGCGGTCATTGCGAGCGGAGGAACGGAGATGCTTGAAAGCCCCGCGTCATTTAAATCCCCAGTATGAGAGCATTTTGGCTTCACTGTAACTACACTGATAATTAATAGTCGACAAAACTGTCACGATGTGTAAGCACTGTGGCACAAGAAAGACATGAGTGAAAAAAGCGTCTCAACGACCGCTTGTTGTCGCGGCATTTAAGCAGCTCCTTTACGCACAGTCAGACCGGGCTAAAGTCAACTCTCCCACGCATCCTCAGCTGCGCTCACGACTGACGCTTGGACGTCCCGCAGAAACTATAATAGATCCATGAGCGGAACCGCTCACTTCATCACCGCAGACTGGGAGATGAAAAGTCTGGCGCTGAAGACACGCCCCCTCTACGACAGTCACACAGTCACACAGCGCAGGTACTGACACAAGCAGCGGAGGAATGGAAGACAAAGGCCCAGTACTAATATCCCAGTCACAACTGATAATGCCAAAAATTAAACAAATGCAGTGAATGAGGCTGGGCCCAGAATGGACCCCCTCCTTGGGAGAATCAGGAAGGTGGTGTAATATATGAGGGTAAATATCCTCATAAAGTGCCTTCTTATGTTGCACTTTGTGTTGTTTTCCATTAATTATGTTAAATAGACATAATTGGATGGATGGAATATGCCATCCATCCATCCATCCGTTTCCTTCCCCTTAATTCATTTCTAGGTCAGGGGGGGCAGTCAGAGCAGGAGCCGAGTCCACATGAGCTGTGTTTATTAAAAAGACAAAACTTTTTTTTTGAAAAATGAACCGAAAAATGAACCGAACCGTGGCCTCTGAACCGAGGTACGAACCGAACCGTGATTTTTTCAAACCGTTGCACCCCTAATAGAAGCCATTGGTTCATAGGGAGCGGGATGACCATTGTGCATAAATGTTAATAAATGTCCATAAACATCCTAAAATGTCTCAGATCATCACCGTAGACCAGGAGTGTCAAACTCATTTTCATCGAGGGCCAAATTTCAAAAACATAAGAGCTGGATTGAGTCAGAAGTGGAATCAATTTTTTTTGTCTTAATAAGTAACTATAACCTTTCCTGAGACAAGAGGCTTCAAAATGAAGTATAACATGCCATTGTAGCCCCTTACCATCAATGCTGCAAGTTACTGCGATAAAGATCATTGAAAATCATTCCAGGGGCAACTTAAACCTGTGGGAAGAGGTTTTAAGACTTGGATTAGTTCTATAATGACTGCAGAATTAAATAACAAATCATTACAAAGCATTTTTAATCACTCAATATGAAACAAGTCATCTCCAGGGACACCACTTGGGTTTTGATTTGTTAATTTTTTGTGATCTCAACAACTCATTGATTAATCAAAAGAATAATTAGATAATCCTTCATTTGTCCCACATTAGGGAGGAAAATAAGAGCACTCAGATTGCACACAACAGGATCTTTTATTTAAGATAATAGAAAATAAATAATAATAATACTAAATCAGCCAACTAATCGATAACAACATTAATTACAGCCCTTTAAAAATCAACAACAACAAATGTTTAATACAAAAATCACTCCTGTATCTACTCGTAAAAATAATAATACATATCTAGCCATCATTTCCTTCTCTTTAGCCCAGCCCTCGGTGATCCCCGCCGCTGTTTTCCTCCAAAACCCATTTGAAATTCAGCTTCCAAAATCAAAGCCGTGTAAAAAAAAGACCCTAACAAGCTCATCCCCAGAAAAGGATGAATCATTGATATTTTTACCCGGAGGGCCTTTCTAAGTCAGATATTAATATGTAAGCTTATCTTCTGGCGTAGAAAGAGTTCTGATTTGAATTACAAAGACTGGAATAAGCCAATAGAGACGGCAGATTAGGGGTTGGTGAAGGATTATGGTGAAAACATATATGGTGGTTTCAAATCAGAGCGGGACACGCCCTGGTTTTGTCCTCGACACAGTTCACTTCAAATAGAGCTTTTAATATTATTGTTTGAGTCCAGTTTGGTCCTGGAGTTTAAAGCCCCAAAGTCTTTGCCCCAAACCCCATACACACAGCCCCTTACTGAATACATAACACTATATATTTCTTGCACCAGAATATGCAAGAAATATGTTATACCTGGTTCTTTATCATCCTGAAGTCAGAGTACTTAATTTTTGCTTCTTCAATATGCTAAAGTTGGAGGTTATATACTTAGATTAGATTTTTTTTAATATTTTTTTATATAGATTTATTGTTTTGTTTATCTTGTGTCGTGTGCTCCTCATTCCTACTGTTCTGTAAACGGTGATGCAACACTGACATTTCCCCACTGTGGGTCAAATCAACGATCTCTTAATCTTAATCTTCACTTTCTTCCTCATAAGTAATCCATGTCCTTCGTCACAACAGAAAGAGTCTTGTGAAAGTAACATGTAGTGAACAAATCAGACCATTATTAGAAAGCATTGAGAACAAATGTGATGCAGAACAAAAATACATCTACGTAAAACCTAGAGATAGAAGCAAACAGTTTGGAGAGTATTAAGACGTATTTATTCCTCTTATCTTTTATATACTTCTAATAAAGTTGTAAAGTTTGGAGTTTTTTTACAGTGTTATTTATATTGTGACTTATATTGTTCTTGTGATATTTCCTTCTCATATCATGATATTTATCCCCACTTACAGAACAGTAGGAATGAGGAGCACACAGCACAAGATAAATGATATAATAACAAATAATAACATATTTAGTTTTAACATAGTGTAGAAGCAAGCCTAAAATCTTCCAGTATTTGTGCCACTATCGCTCAGCCCTATAGATGTGTGTGTCCCTGTTATAGACGCTCTTTACCCCACTAACTTCAGGCGTCTTCAATAATGAAATTTCACAACTTCTGCCCTAAATTGCCAATTTGTCAGTCTTAAACCCCAAAGCCAAACCCACAACCCATTACTATGTGTGGATGTGAAGGTTATCTGGTTCTACAGCAGGAAAGACCCCCCCCCCCCAGCTGCATCAAGTCTGGATTCCCCTGAATGATACACACATCCATGAATTCATCCATTAAAGGGCACGTACACTTACACAAAATACTCTTTTTAAAATAAAACAGGAACTTCTGGGACACAATGACACAAAAATGCACCAAAACATTGAACCTTTCACTTTGAGTAGCAGATATACTTGTATATGTAACATTTGTGCATTAAAGGAGCTATACCCGTTTCAGCAAGGTTTTTTCAGTTTGAATGTTTAGCACCGCCCCCAACTCGCTCACAGGCTTCTCATTTCCCCTACGCTCTCATCCCACGGAGCCATCTAGTTTTATTTGCGATCTGACACATATGCAAACATTAGCATGAGCGCAATTTCTTGTAAACTGTACAACAATCACTGATGAAATGGGACTAAAGCAACGCACTGCTAACAAAATATATACAGTAACTGTTAGTAGTTTTGCGTCCAAATGTAGTCCGAGGCGGTCGTGCTCCCGCAGGTCTCTCCAGAGTATGCGATGTAAGCTAACCGAAGCTTGATTTCTTCTTTGATCATTTTTTGCGTTAGTTCCTTCTTCTCTTCCTCACTGTTGTGTCGTTTCAATCAATCAATCAAAGTTTATTTATAAAGCGCTTTTTCATACAACAGATGCAACACAAAGTGCTTTACAGTTTGGCTAAAAAACAATCCTGCCCATGCCCTCCCCCCGACCGCCCAACAGACCCTCCCCAGACCACAAGCAAACCCCCCCCCCCCCACACACACACACGCGCACACACACACACGCGCACACACACACGCACCGATAAAACAATAAAACGATGATAAGAGACTTGGCAGGGTTCAGATGCAACCGGCTGAAGAAACGCCATCCAAGGAGCCGTCAGCGCCAGGAGCAGAGAGCCGCCCATAGCCAAAGGGGACGACACAGGACCCAGAGGGGACCCAAAACCGAGGCCCCGGGCCCCCACCAGGTCCAAGATTCCGACCCCCACAGCCACAGCCAACCACCGCTCCCAGCGCAGAGGGCTCCTCCAGAGGAAACACTGGGGATACTTAAAAACAATACAATAAGTAAAACACTAAAATGTGAGCCTGAAAGGAACTATCACACAAAACATGAATAAAAGCAATAGCAATATAATAAATAATAAAGGATAAATAGAATATATAAAAATGGACTAATAAATACTAATCAAAAGCTATTCTAAAAAGGTGTGTCTT